GAGCCGTGTATGCGTGCGTGTGTGTGTGGGGGGGGGGGGGGCAGGGGCGCGAGGTGTGGAGGCCATGAGCAGTCTAGGAGAGAGGCGTGGCGACAAGGTGTGGCAGACCCGGCTGCACAGGGAGGTGATCTCGCGGGGTGCCCCTGACATGGCTAGTGCAAGTGCTGGTGGCCGCTTGACATAAGCCGCGCCGCTGCGAGCCGTCTTGATTTTGTATTGACCCCAACATTACCCTTTCCTTCATTCCCCACTGTGCCCCGCCGCTGCTGTGCTGTGAGCCCAGGCCGCGCACCTAAAGGACAGGGTGTCCATCTCCCCCAGATCAAAGGGGCTCGAGTCCATCAAAGGCACGTTGGCCGCGGCGGCCACGTTTGCTGCGGCGGCCTGGTAGTTGAGATTAAGGTGGGGGGCGACGGCGGCGGCTGGGTCATCATTGCAGCTGCAAGCACGTGGGAGGACAACACAGTAAGGCTCACACAGCCCCAGAGCGTGCGTCAACGGCGACAGTGCAGGGGCCCAGGCGGGCCAGGCGAGACAGGCGCGCGCAGAGGGTGCGACGCGGGCCGGCCGTGCGCACCCGCTGGAAGGGCGTGCCGACGAGGCGCGCGTGGTACACCGCCGACAGCGACGCCGCCGAGCGCTCAAGGTGGTCAATCGCCTGCGCCGCCGGCCCGGCCGAGGGCGCCGCGCCCGCGCTCGCACCGGCGGCGGGCGCGGCGCCCGCGGCGGCGGGGGCTAGCCTCGCTGGCATGAGCAGGCTGGTGTCGCTGAACGTGCGCAGCTCGTCCACACCCTCGTAAAGGGCCAGGGTGGGGCTGCCGGCGCCAGCACGCGCGACTGCACGGGGCAATGCAAGGCGCGGCGGCATGGCGGCCGACTGCCGTCAGGGTGACTGCCAAACAGTGTGTCTGTTTGTTGCAATGAACATGTCTGCGCTGCAGCAACTCCCTGCAGCGTCGTGCAGGCCTCAAACGCAAGCCCGCATCGCGCCGGGCGGTGCGCCCCCTCACCCGGCGAACGGAACTCCGCGGGGCTGTCCTGCACCCCGCTTGCTGAGGAGCCAAATCCGGCCTCCACCCCGCGCGCCGCCGCGACGGCCGCCTCCACTGCCGCCGCCTTTGCCGCGGCCGCGGACGCCGGGCGCGCCGCGGGGTCCGGAGTGAAGAAGGATGCGGGTGTGTCGGGCGTCCTGGGGAGCGCCCCCGTCGACGCCCCCGCGGCGGTTGGCGTGACCTCTGGCGCCGCGGCAGACGCGCCTTGCCCCGCAGCTGCTGCCGTGGGCGCGCCGCCAAGTCTGGGGGTGCTGTTAGGAGTGGCGGCACCAGGCGTGTGTGCACCGAACGCAAGCTGCTGCGCGGCCGGCGTGCAAGCCGATGTGGGCGTCGTGGCCTGCGGCAGGTGTGGCGGCTGGCGGGGTCAGGCAAACACGGTGGCTTCTAATGGGGGGGCTGCCGCAACCCCTCTGGGCTGCGCACAAATGCTGGGGCGCTGTGCTGGTTGCCAAGCTGAACAGCAACCGGCTCAGGACTGCCCAGCCATGCGGCGTCGGGCGCCGCCTCACCTCGTCAAGGGCCGCTGCAGGCTGCCGAGCGGGGCTGCCGCCAAGGCGCCACGGCTGCAGCGGGCTGTCGGCCAGGCACGATGGTGATGCGCCTGCTCCTGTGCTGTCAGGTGACCGCGCGTTGACGGCAGCTGCTGAGGCTGGCGGAGTGCGAGCCGCATTCCTGAGGTGGGTTGCAGAGAGGTGCGTTCTGAGTGGCTCCAGACGTTGGGCCCCTTCATGCATGGCTGCAAAAGAACTCCCACCAGCAACACCCAGCTGCTCAGCAGCTGCCCGTTAGCTCACTCTGATGCTCCCTCAGATGCAGGACTTGTGGTGACCGCCACCTCCGCCGTCTCAATTGTCGATTCCGGCCCGGGCGCCCCTGCCGGCGCCTGCACACGCTGCGCGCCGCCCAGCAGCCTGCTGGCGCCTCCGCCGTTGCCATGCAGCGGCGCCCCGTACGCGTCAGCCGCCAAGCTTGTCGGGCAGGCCATCACACCCTCCTCTGGCAGCGGCTCAAAGTCATGCGCCTCCAAACCCTCTGCGACCTGCTCCATGCCCACTGCGGCCTCACCTGCCTCCCTGCCATCGCCGCCGCCACCCGCAGCATCCCCCTCGGGCTGCAGCACAAACAGAGGGATGCTCTCGTGCACACCGCTTTGCCCGTCCGTGGCGGGCGCCGCGCGGCCGCTGGCCTGACGGCGGGGGCTGGGGCGGGGCGCGGCCGCGGCGGCGGGGCTGGGGATGATGGTGGCGCCCAGAGGCTCTTCGTCATCCAAATCAAGGTCCAGCAGGCCGGCAGACCCCTCCCGCTGCGGCGCCGCACCCGCCTCCTGCCCTCGCCCCTCTGCCCTTGCCGCCTCCGGGCGTCGCGCGGGCGGCTGCTGCGCGTCGGCCGCAGCGCCGTCCTCTTGCGTGGCGGGCGCCGCGTCGGTGCCGCTCGCCACTGCGGTTTCTGGAGGCGCTGATGCGGGCTCGCGCTCAGCAGCAACCTGCGGTTGCAGGGCCTCTTCCTCCTCCTCCTCCACGATTCCCAGCACAGCCTCCTTCGACGTCGAGGGGCCCTCATTCTCCTGCTGCGACGGCTGCTGCTGATCCTCTTGAATCTGATGTACCGCTGCTCCGCCGTCCATCTCCTGATCAGCAGGTGCTGCTGTCCCTTCTGGCCCTGCATCCTCCTTTGGCGCGACCGTCTCGCCGGCCGCCAATGGCGCCACGGCCGCGACGTCAGCATCCCTGCACTGGGCTGTCGCTGCGTCCGCGGCTGGTGGCGCAACTGGGGCCGACGCTGGCGACGCCGACCCCTCCGCTGACCTGCGCTTGCGCCCGCAGAGCGCCGCCACATCATCGGCCACCGACGAAGACCGCAGGCTGCTGACATTGCTGGGGCTAGCTCCCGTCGCAATTGTTGCAGGAGGAAACAGTGCAGCAGTGGAGTCCAAGGGGTAGCCAGCGCGCGCCAGGTCCGCTGCCGGCAGCAGCGCCACTGTTGCGTCCGCGTCTACGTAGTCAACCCCCCGTGGCCACTCATCGACGGCGGCTGGGCTGCCCTCAACCGCGGCCGCCGCGCCTGCAACCGCGGGCGCCTCGCGGGCTGCGCCGCAGTCCGGCGCCGGCGTCGGGAGCATGTCTGCAGCACCGTTTGCGGTGAGAATGCCCTGAACGCCCGGCGTAAGCAAGTAGTCAGGCATCGCCTCGATGCCGCCCGCGCGTCCAGGCGGCGTCATGCAAGGGCCGTCCGGCGCAAAGCCGGAAGACAGAACCTGGCGCGGGTCGTGCGTTGAGGGCTCAGAGCTGAGGGTTGGCTGGGGATCCAAATTGGGACTGCAGAAGTCGTTTTAGCAACGCGGGCGGTGCGGGGCCGTGCAAGTGTGCCGCACTGCCGCCTTGCGCCTTCCAGCCAAAGCTCAAGAGAGCACACACACCTGCCGCAGGTCGACGGTTTCGTCATAGTATCCGCCGCGCGTCATGTAGGGCGACGGCCCCGCGTCAAACCCGGTGCCCGGGCCTGGCGAGCAGGACCGCAGGCTGTCGTCGCACGACACGCCGCCGACGGCGTCGCCGTCCGCGTGGGGATCATACGACGCGCCGTCGTCCCCGGCGCCGCCTGTGTTGACGCGGCACAGCGCGCTGGCGCTATCACTGCCGTTGGAGGGCACGGGCAGCTCGACCGAGGGGCCGTCCAGGCTGGGGAGCATGGCCACCGTCGCGGGGGCTGCCTTGCGTGCTGGCCTGGGCTTCATTCCCGATCCCAGCTTGCCCCATATTGACCTGCCCTGCTTGCCCGCTGTGGCAGGCGCTGCGAGCGCGCTCGTGCCGACAGCCCCGCCGGCCACGCCGCCCTTGTCGCGCGGCGGTGTCTCAGGTGCGCTGGCGCGCAGCGCATTAGCAAACCCAAAATGCTCGAGGCTCCCATTGAACGAGCGAGATCGCATCGGCGACTGCCCCGGCAGGGGTGAGGGCGGCTGGTCGCTGCCTCGCTCAACACCACCCTTGCCAAGGTTAAGCAGCCGCTGCACTTTGCCGGTGAAGCTCTGCCGCAGCGGGTTGCGCACAGCCTCACAGCCGCCGCCGCTGCTAGTCCCGGTGCTGCCACTGTCATTCTGATCCGAGGTCCCCACGTGAACAGCTACTTTTGATCAAGGAGGTGTTTTGGGGTCGTGCGTGGTATCAATGAGCCGCCTGAACAGACACGGTACTTGTTGCAGGGTAGGGGGTCGTCCAGCATGCAGTTGGCAGCCCAGCCGACACGGTCAAACGCAGCTGCACATCGTCGTGCTTTCCCAGCTCGCTTGTTGCGTTGCCGCATTCACCTGCCCACTGCCCGGCTATACATCTCTGAGGCAACTGAAGCAGAAAGGGTAAGCAGCGCACCTCCATCCGTGCCCCACAGCTTGCTGGCCCCAAGCTTGCTGCCAAGCGTCAGGCGCTTGCCGCCGCCGCCGATGCCCTGAAACAGAGCCGGTTGGGACGAAGGTAATCAAGGTAGCTGCAAAGCACTTATCAGAGCAGGCATCAATCGCGATCACGTCAGTCGGCACGCACCCGGCCCTCGACATGTTGGGCCTTCTCTGCATCTGCCGGCGCATCTCCCAGCTCAGATGAACCATGAGTTCCAATCTCCATTCCCTAGTACGGACTAGGACCGCCCCCGGATGTGCGAGTGCTCGACAGCTGTCCGGCGCGTGATCTGGAGCGTTCAATTATACGTGCAGCTTGAAAATCTCATCCGTTTTTTGCTCGAGATTTGCGAGGATACTCATCCTGAACGAACCTGGGAAAAGTGTTGGCACGTCTGGCACTTTGAATGCGCACAAGCCGGCCCCACCCGCTGCCTAGCCTTCACCCACCCCTTGACCCACATCTGCCGTGCAGCAGGCATGCGGAGTGGCGCGCAGCTCATCAAGTGATGCAATTTGTCAAGCCGGGCACCATTGCAATGCTGCCCGATAACATACAGGGATGAATTCGTAGTTGAACGCTGCACTAGGTAGCCTGCCTGCCCACACCGTCAAGCCATTGATGACCAATCGCACGCAAGGACAATAGTCTCAGGTTCATTAACAATAACAGACAGCACAGGCTCAGGAGAGGATCCTGTGCATCAACATATATGGCCCAGGCGTGTATCTGCTTGTGAGGTTTGAAAACTTGTACAAGAATTGGGGCGCACAAACAACACAAGATTGAAAGACGGACTTCGAGAATTGAAGCCGTTGCATCTGCATTAAGTGTTTGTGGAGTACTTGTGTTTGCAGTCTGGGCACTCATAGAACACAGTCTGACCCTCATCCGCTGACCGCAGCTGCATGGTGTAAAACTCCATGCCTTGGTGTCCGCATTGCGGGCACTTTTCATCCACCTGCAATTGCATCCATAATTTGATTAAGTGTAGGTACAATAGCACAGTGCATGAACTGCTGTATGTCAGGGTGGCACAGACAGCTGGTCCAGCAGCACGCGGAAGCTTCTGGCCTGAAGTGGCGATCGAGCTGCCTCACCGTTGCGCGCACGCGGCCCGTTTCCTCCACTTCCGCCTCGTCCTTCACCAGCGGCTCCAGGTTGTACTGCCGCCGGTACTCCTGACAGAGGGCGGCGAATATGGCGGGCATGGTTGTACGGCATCGTGAGGATCCCTATCATTTGTCAAAAATGGGCTATCCAGCACTGTAGTGCTTGGTTTCAGGCGGTTTTCACTGAACGCAAAAGGTACCTGGCAGCCCGACGTGCCTTTGGAAGCCTGACGCACTACAAGGCAAGCTGTAGCTCACCGCCATGTTAGCGTGCGCCTCTATCCGGATGCTTGAGAGCTCTGCTTGCGCGGTGCGAGGTCAAAACAGCAGCAACAGCGTATGAGGGAGTGATGCTTGACGGATGTGCGGCTGGTACCAACCACCTCTCGCTCTGATTGCCGCTTCTTGGACGCTTGCAACTTGCCGATGCAGTGTGAGGACACGCAGTCAGGCCTGTGTGCTGGGGTAGCAAGCCAGGGCCGCGCACCGTCGAGGCTCTTTTGATAGCCCGTCATGGGGCAGTGGGCCACACCCCGCACAGGGTCAAGCTCTAAAAGGTAGCCCGACAGTGGGCAAAACATCCAGTCCTTGGACACAGATGCACTCGTCGACGGCTGCGAACATCAGCAGCAGCGGCGCAGCAGTGTTCACAGAGTGGCGCATGCGCGCTCTGCTCAGCTCCAGACTCACTCAATCATCAATCTTTCATACATGATACATTCGCAAAGATGCAAGTGCTCAGCGGAGCCGGATGCCTTCGTGCTGCAACTCACCGGGCCCGACATGACGGCGCCTTACAGGGGCTTCGAATGATGTTGATACTGCCACCTCTGTGTAACAATATGCTGGCCTCCCTTGCCGATCTACTTGGGTGCGCACGACTTGTACGATACGGTCAGACTCGCCGCGCGATGCTGGCTGTAACAGAGGCTATCGGTTCGATGGTACGGATGCCGTTGGTCCTGCGTCACTACTGCCACGGAGCGAGCTGCCTTCGTCCAGTGACCATGGCTGGTGGGTGGGTCACCAGCGGTTCCGGTAGTCACGCCCCTGACCGTGCAGTATGCGACACGAGCTGGACATCTGATGCCTCTCTTAAACATCAGCAATTTGAACTCTTTGTGCTGCTGCATTCCGCTGTGCTGCATGCTCTCCATCCCGCACACACAGCGCTGCTTCAAATGAGACAGACCGGCATACTGTAGGTTGCGTGCTGGTGCGCTTCATCTGCTGTCACCACAGGCTGCAACTGGTAGGGCTACGAAAGTAATTTCAACAGTGGCTTTTCAGCTGCCAGTCAGCTGTTGCACTGATCGCCCATCGCCCTGTTAAAGCCCAGCATGGCTATCCCGGCATCAATGTGATTACCCGCCGTCCGACAGCGCAAGCCGCGCTTTGATCTGCTCGTACAGCGCCCAGGACAACGCGCATCCCGGCGCTATGTTGAGCAGCCGCGCACCGAGGCCGCTCCAAAAGCTGCGTGGCCCCTCGGCGGCAAGCATCTGCCGCGCCACGAGCACCGCCGTGAGGCCGCGGCCCTCCGCCGTTGCAGTCATGACCTGCAGCCGCGTCTTGACCACGTCCGCTGGGTGCGTCACAACCGCGGCAACCGCAGCAGCGCCCGCCGAGCACGACGCCGTCGCCCATGCCGGCAGCTGCTCTGGCCGCTGCAGCCCCTGCGAGCGTGCCGCCGTGCCACGCGCCTGCTCGTAACCAGCTATGTAAAGCATGTTCCATGGTAGCCACACACAGTTCGTGGCCCAATATCCGCGAAACAAACACGACAGCCGCCGCAGGTGCTGCTGCGGCTGCAGCCCTTGGCCGCCGCCTGCCATAGCATCTGTCCGCACTGCGCCGGTGGAGGCCCGGCCCTCAGCAGCCGCACGTTTCCGCGCTGCCGCCGCTGCTTTTTGGTGGCTGTGTTTGACGCTGCTGCTGTGGGCCGTACCCCCAGCGCGGCCGCTGCCCCCGCTGCCCCCGCTGCTGCTGCCAGAGTGGCGGCCCTCGGCACCTGTTCCCTCGTTGCCGCCGCTGCCTCCTTCTGCCAGCAGGCTGCGCAGCGCCTCCAACGGCCCACGGAATTTGTACGCGCCGCCCATCAGCGCCTGCACCTGCAGCCGCTCCTTGATGATGTCGATGGGCGTGTATACCAGGCCCGCGGCCAGCTGCGCAATGGCGCCGGTGGCCACGTCTGCGCCGACGCCCCATCCGCGCGGCACGAGGCGCCGGCTGAGCTCGTAGCTTCCAAAGTACACCGCATTGGCCGGCAGCACGCCGACCATGACCGCGGCAAAGCCGCGGTACAAGCTGGGTGGGCCCTCATTGAGCAGCATGGTGCGCGCCGCGTCCAGGGTGCCCGAGTACGGCCGCGCGCCGACGCGCCCCTGCTGCGTCGCGCGCAGCGCAGCGGCGCCCTGCACCTGCAGGCGCGCCTTGACGGTGTCCGCAGGGTATGTCACGACGCGAGCTGCCAGGCCAGACGCCGCGCCAGCGACGAGGCCGTGCCACACCGGCTGCTCCTGGTCCTGGCCATAGTGCCGCTGTTGTTGCTGCTGCAAGGCGGTCGGCTGGGCTACAGGCTCTTGCTGATGCTCGCTGTGCTGCTGCCCTGGCGGGCGTGTAGCTGGCTGCTGGACTGAGGCCACTTCCCCACAGGCTGAGGTGGCACCCATCCTGCGCGCCGAGCAGGCAGGGCGCCCCTGGAGGGCGGGGTGCACGCCGCGGCGGGTGGAGCGCTGAGCGGACGTTGCGCACAGGCAACGGGGAGGCGTGCAGGGGCTATACAAGCACAGAGGGATCCACCATTTGACTGACGTACCGCGTGCTATTGACGTGTGGGGTCCACGACGACTTTGCCCGTAGCTGCTCACACTCGTGGTGGTCACCAGGTCAGCAGGCAACCCGCATGTATTGCAGTACCATAGATTCGGAGTTCTCAGAGTAAATCAAATAACAGGTGTACCACTCGCACTGAAGCCACTCGATCGGACGCTTCAGAAGATCATAGATCACGCAGAGAAGCGTAACACCACCCCCGACTCACAATAACTTCATCCTAGCTGGTTTCTTAGTACTCACTTAGTCTAGCGGCCTCAGCAGCATCCCAGATCACACGATGTTCCTTACGAGGAGCGAGTACGACAGGGGCGTGAACACTTTCAGCCCAGAAGGACGACTGTTTCAAGTCGAATACGCCATTGAAGCGATCAAGGTGCGCCCCACCTGCTGTGGCGGACGCCACCACCGTGCAGCAACGCGCATGCTTGCAGCAGCGGCCATGCTTACCCCACTTGCCGCGCCGCGCCGTGCTCATGCTGCCGATCGCAGCTTGGATCAACAGCGATCGGCGTTGCCACCAGCGAGGGGGTGGTTTTGGCTGTGGAGAAGCGCGTCACATCACCGCTTCTGGTGCGCAGCATGGCCGGAGTGGCAGTGCCTGCATTCCTGTGCACAATGGCACTTGCAAAAAAAGAGTGTGATGGTACTGATAGTGCTGTGGGTAGTGGTGGTGGTGATGATGCTGGGAAATGATGGTTCTGATCTTCAGTGATATCCTGAGACCTGCAGGTGCTGTTCAGCGTGTGTGGTACTGTCCTGCTGTGTCAGCAGCCTGCGCAGCTGTTAGCTGTACAACATCAGTTATCTTATGCGTTTGTGAGGACTTTAAATCTACAGTGAGTAGTGCACCTACCTTGTGCCGACCCGCAGGAGCCCAGCAGCATCCAGAAAGTGGCGGAGATTGATGAGCACATCGGCTGCGCCATGAGCGGCCTCACTGCTGATGCCAAGACCCTGATCGACCATGCACGGGCGGAAACGCAGGTGCGGAACTTGCGGGCGCGCGCACCAGCAGGGTTGCAGGATTGCAGGAGATAGTCGTTGAACGCGAAGGGTTCTGTTTTGATACAATCACAAATCAAAATAGAGCCCTGCATGTTCAATGATGGGTTGTGAGTGAACTTGCTATTAAAGATTGAATAACGTCTAATGGAAAACGAAGCTTCACAATTCTGGATTGCAAGTCGTTTTTGACCAATGCTTGTCCTTGCAGCTGGCAAAGCACCTTGCTGTCCTATAAAGCCTCCTCCTGCAGCACACACCAGCACACTAGTGTGAGAACCCAACACACAACTTTGCCCCCCTTTCCCCAGTCGCACCGCTTCTCGTACAACGAGCCGATGCCGCTAGAGTCATGCACGCAGTCACTGTGCGACCTGGCGCTGCAATTCGGGGAGGACGACGATGAGGGGGGCGGCGGCGGCATGGTGAGTGCTGGCCGGTACGGCCTGCGGACTGTGAGGGCTGCTGCCTGGATATTGGGCGGCTGGGCAGGTTCTGCTTGAGGTTTGGTGGGCGGCAACCGCAGGGCTCATGGCTGAAGGGCAAGGTCAGACGCTGAAGCGTGCATTCTGCTGACGACCCCAGCTTGAGCCCAGGCCCGCCCTCGACGTCGCGCCCCCACGCCGGCCCGTTGACGCCCCCCGCAGAGCCGGCCGTTTGGTGTGGCGCTTCTGATCGCGGGTTGGGACCGCGAGGCTGGTCCCGTGCTGTACCACACAGATCCCAGCGGCACGTACGTCAAGTACCGGTGCATGGCAATCGGCAGCGGCAGCGAGGGCGCCCTCACGGCGTTGCAGGTGCGAGGGAGGAGGGCAGGGCAATGCGTGGCAAGTTTGGGCCGGGGAGGCATGGCAGACAGTCCATCGGGTGGGCTGCAGCTGATGGGGCGTAGCAGTGTGTATAACACAATATAAACAAAGTGGAGGTTTGATAATGTGTTGCGAGCTGTGGCGCCTCCCACCCCAGCCGCTTGACATTGTGCCTGCATTCGTCATTTTCCCTCCCTTCCAGGAGCATTTCAAGCCGGAGATGACCCTGGCGGAGGCGGAGGTGCTGGCACTGTCCACTCTCAAGCAGGTCATGGAGGAGAAGGTGCGCAGCTGGGCGCTGCTGGCGAGGGAAAGGGGTTTATCAGTGAGAAGCCTCAGCAGCGTGCCCCTGCAGCGTGCAGTGAGTTGGGACACGGCAAGCACTCGGCTGCGTGCCGCACTCATGCTGCAGCTGGCAGCGGTCGTCGCAGGGGGCCCTGCCTGACTCCCACTTGCCTCTCCCAACCCATGCGCCTTTGTCCCAGGTGACTGCCACCAACGTGGACATTGCCAAGGTGGCTAAGAATTACCACCTGTACAACCAGGACGAGGTTGAGGCTGTCATTGCACGCCTGTGAACTCGCACATGCCTGCCAAAGTGCACGCACAGGCAATCCAGAATTTCACGCCAGTGGTTGGCGCTGCGGCGCCAACTAGGTTGTACATGTGCTTGCACTGGCTGCGGTCATGTGGGTGCCTACCATGTTACATGGGCGTGCGGGTGCGTGCAAGGTTCTGAGGCTGATGCAGCTGCTTGCAAATGGTGCAGCTGCTCTGGATGTAACCCCGTGGCTGCGCACTTGGTGCAGGGTGCATCGGACAGGGATGCGTGACAAGTCAATTTGTCAGGATCATGATTCAAGAGAAAGGCCAAAATGTTGTGTTACAAACGTTGCCCCCACCAAGGCACGCACGTTTCCCAACTGGGGCGCATCACAGTCCCGTGCCGGTGTGGCTTGGCTGCTGCACTGTAGCCAATCACCACATCTGCTGTGCAAGGCTGAGGCTCGCCCCTGTGCCCAGGGCGCGGTTAGCACGGGCCGCCTTCTTCGCCTGGGCATACATGGCGGCTGGGCCACTGGCCTCGCCCTTGGCTGCGGCGCCTGCAGCGCCTCCATTGCAGAAGTCATCGCGGTACCTGTGCGGGCCGGGGTATCAAGAGGCAGCGCCAGCAAGCTTGTGAGGGATTTGTTTCAAGCAGGTCATGAGTGATTGCTTCTTATCGTTTTTTTCTGGCGCCCGCGACTCATTGTAGCAATGCTCAGTTCTGGCAACTGCGATCATATCAGTAACAGACAGCCACCCTGCATCTTCCCAGACGTTTGGCATCAGGGCTGCCCTCAACGGTGACCAGCACGCACTTGCTGCTGCGAGTAAACTCATTGCCCTCGCAGCCCAGCGTGACGTGCGTGCCCCGCCCCGCTTGCTTGACTGCCACCGCTGTGTCACGGCCGGTCAGGTGGAGGATGGAGGACCCTGGGGCCGCGTTGGCCTCTTGCCAAAACTCCTCAATATCCTGTGGTTTGTGGAAGTTCAAGGCATGGAGCAGGATGTTGCTGCATAATCCAGTGCTGCCTTTTGTCTCCGCATTTTGTGTGTGTGTGTGTGTGTGTGTGTGTGTGTGTGTGTGTGTATGTGTGTGGGTGAGTGTGCGTGTGTGTGTGTGTGTGTGTATGTGTGTGGGTGAGTGTGCGTGTGTGTGTGTGTGTGTGTGTGTGAGTGTGTGTGTGTGTGATGCCACCGGGCGTACCGCTGTGAGGGCTGCTGCCTCGGCCGCAGCATCCAGCTTGCACACCACTGCGGCGAAGCGCCTCACCTTGTTGGCCGCATCATTGGTCGACGGCCGGTTGCCCGGTGCCCACCAAGCCGCTGCCTTCTTGTCCTGCTCAGCAGTCTGCGTCAGGGATGTGGCAAGACGATCCCCGAGAGAAGGCTGCTGAGCCTGCACCAACACTAACATCGCACACAGCACGCGGCGGTGCGTCAGGCAAGTTCGCAACGCGCACCTTCTGCGGGTCGTGGCTGTGGCCAAACGTGTAAGCTGATTCGATGCGCCCGCCTGCTGGGTTGGAGACTGCGAAAGAGGGGGCGGAACAGGGCCCGTCTCTTGCCATTGAAGAAACGGAGCACGCCAAACATGCTAAAGAGCCACAGCGGCTGCATATGCCGATCACGTGGATCACCTAGGCATCCTATAGTGCTCTGAGCGACGTGCGCCGGCCTCCAAACCTCCATTATTGCGCGCTGTGCTTGACGAAACTCGTGCTCGACGAAACAAATGCTTCTGCTGTGCAAGGCGTTTAATACCTAATACTCAGAATACGTCATGGTGTTAGCAAGTCGAAAACCTGATTTCTGAACAAGTGCTGTTGAAGTGTAGGCCAAGTCGGCGGCTTCTCGGCACGTGTGTGTGCACTGCGAATGCGTCTCGTCGTCATGCATGCGCCTGCTGCTGCCCACTGGTGGTTTTGTGCAAAGCGCAGGCGGTCATCATGTAGCTGTGGAATGGGCTGTATTTTTGTAACAGCTCAGCCAAGAATCACTGCAGAACAGCAACAAGGTTTACACATACGATGTACACAATCTCACAGACTTGAGCAGACAGATGACATCGGGTTGCGGGTAGGCGCCTATGGGCACCAAGGCCATGATGCACAGGAATAAAAGGCAAGCAAGGGTACAGGTTGCTACGCACCACCAACTAGCTCACTAGCAAGTGTCCAACAAACGTGCAGGCCATGGATGCAAGCGATGCACCTGCACACACAACAGGACCGCGTGGCATCAACAACAGTCGGGGCGCTCGACCCAAATCGAAGCCCCTCCAAACAGCGCGAGGCCACTGCAAACCAGGAGTGCAGCCCTGCAGCAGGGTCACAGCTGCTCGCGCCACCCACCGCCCCCGGGCACCCCGTTGGGCACGGGGATGCCAGCTGGCTGCTGCCCCGCGGGTGCAGTGCCTTGCCAGCTGATGAAGCTCTCTATAAGCTTTGCCACAGGAGACTCCGGTGGAATGAGGCGGTCGACAGAGTGCTCGTAGATGCGGCCGGTGCGGGAGTCGAACTTGTAGCTGCATACGGGCGGGTACGGGCGAGCGGACAGTGAGCAGGCGCATGTTGGGGGCAGTGCCAGCTGGTGGCTGCATCGCGTGCGGGCGCACCCTGCACTGCTGCACCAATGGAAGCGATTGCGCTCCGCAAGACGCGGGCTGAGTAGCCCGGGACGTGCCACGGCCTACGCAAGCTAGGTAGCCGCACCCCCGGCCGCCCATGGCTGTTGAGAGCGCCATGAGTCCGTGCTCACGTGGAGATGGCCTCAAACCTCATCGGCTCACTGCCAGCCACGAAGGCCGGCAGCCGTGGAGTTGCCAGGACGCACCACCGCACCCTGCAGGGCGGCGATGGGCACGAAGCGTGGCACATGAAGTTCCACATGGGCAGCAATCCAGGTCGGGGTTGCACTTGGACGCAGGCAAGGACACCTTGGCCCAACACCACTAAGCATTCGCAGCTCGCCTGCTGCACCGCTGCCACCACTGCCACTCTCAAATGCCTCGCAAACCTCTCGCACACGAATTCCGCGCCCCGCCGCACCCCCCTCTTGCGTGTGCACGCACGAACCTCAGGTGCCGCCTCTCCGTTTGGCTCTCCCACATGCGCAGCGTGGTCAGCCGCACATCGCTGTACAGCAGCCACGTCAGCGCCCGCACGGAGCGATGCAGCCACTTGTACTTTGTCAGGCCCGTCAGCCGGGCGTCCCCCATCGTCCCCAGGGTAAAGGTCACGTCTTCCCTGGGAGGAGGGGCATGCACGTGTGTACAGCGGTCGGAGTGTGGAGTGCGGAGTGCGGGGCAGCAGCAAGGGGTCGCGGCTTGGTGGGGCGTCGTGGATGGTTGGGGCGATGGGGCAAGAGGGCATGTATCGCGAAGGGCCAGGACCGGCTGGCTGCGGTTGCAAGAGCTCTGCCAGGCATTGGGGCGGGTCGGCCGGGCCTCACCTGTAAATGTGCCACCGCATGTCGCGGACAAACATGTCACTGGGGTGGGGCCGACAGGGGCCAGGAGGGGCATTGCAGGGGTGGGCGTTGGAGCCTGGGACGGGCGCGGCGGTCGCCGGCGTTGGTCGTCTCTACTACTGTGCCCGTCCACCGGCCACGCGGCAGGCGCGCATTGTAAGTGCAAATGCAGCACAACAATGCCTCAAACAATGGCTCGTTTGTTTTTTCGGTGCTCGCCCGAGGGGGGATACTCACGGCAGGTCTTCCCGCAAGCACACGACTGCCTCCCCAAAGTTGGTGTTGAACTCGCCGTCGTCCCCGCCACCGCCGCCGGCGGTGCCAGCGCCCTCGTTGCCGCCGCGGCCGCCGCTAGTGGTGGGGCCCGCTGTATCCGTGGTGTTGGTGCTAGAGGTGGTGGCAACCCCATGCTCGGTAGTGAGCGCTGCCATGGGAGCGCTGGCGCATGCCTCAACCGTAGCGGCGGGTGCAGCAGCGCCGTTGTGCCCGTTGCGCCCAGCGCGCACCGGGGGCCGCTCGCACTCGGCTGCGGGCAGAGCGCGTGCATGCCTGGCCACGCTGCGGTGCGGCGCTTCGACGCGCTGCGCGCGCCAGGTCACAGCGGCCGGTGGGATGCGCGGCGCTGGTCGGGTGCGGGCTAACGCGTCTCCCGAAATCCCCAGCATGGAGCTGAAGCTAGATGTCCACATTCCCGAGAAGCCCCAAGAGTATTCAGGTGTCGTGCCAGCGCTGATCGGATGGCACACGACTGTTTCATTTGATACGAGATATCGCAGCAATTCAGATAGTTCATGCACGCCCTATCATGTCAGTGGCGGGTTTGTTGGAGCAGGTGAGCAACTACCGTTCATAACTCACCAGCACGGCGTGCACTACACTATTCGTGGGCGAGCGCGAACGCCAAAAGAGCTGACCGCACTTGGGTCTCACGCGCCCACCTCCCATACACCGCCTCACGCATCACGCGTGCCCCCTGTGCCGCACCCTTCCGTCCGCATGCTCTACCTCCTCACCTGCGCCCAGTTTGCTGTGTGCTCGAAATTACTTGTACGGGTTGCATGGCATAGGGTGCGACGTTGGATGCGGCGCATGAATGAATGAACGTGCCGGACGTTGGCGCCAGTGGCGGGCCCGCTGATACTGTGTTGTTGACCCCACAACAGCTCCAGCTAGTCCAGCAGCCCAGGTCAAATCTGAACAGTGCACCCTCAAATGTGGACTCAAATTGCGTCGCCCAGCTCCGTGTCCCAGCCTGATCCCCTACTGTACTACCCTATTCAGATGATAGGGTGTGTGCCAGAACAATGAGCAGCGGATGAAGGCTGACACGAATCGGCAACACATACCTCTCAGCAGTCGGCACAGTGATTCGTGCTTCTTGGGTGGCAGAATGGGCCTGGCATATGGCTCCATCCCTCGCCCTTTTGGCGCGGCCCAATGCGCCTGGTGTTTTTTGGATCGCCGCCATGCCACAGCGCAGACCTTGCAACCCAGGATACGAACTTGACCTGTGTTCAGCACTGTGTGAGATGGTCATCTTACCTGTCATGACAGGTCCGCGTACGCAAATCCAAGAGTGGGGCACTGCAGTAGTCCATCTCCAAACCCTAAACCCTAAACCCTAAACCCTAAACCCCAGGCTCATGGATCATCGCTACATTGACCGCCATCCTGGCGTACAGCCTTGCACTCTGCAGCAGCGCTTATTTCATGAGCAGACATTCAACAGCGGTGGGGTACCATGAGCCGGCATTCACAGGTGGCCCTAAGACCGTGGCGGTTTCCCATGGAGCACCATCAGAGAGTGGCTGGATGCCCGGGCGCAAGTCATATCCAAGCTTTTCTTCGAAGAGCTAGCAGCCCAGCATGATTGCCTGTTCAACATATCAGATACGACGAATTTTGTCGATATCAGGTTGTCCATTGTGGATCAATACAGTGAACCCAAGCCGTGCTGGATGCGCCCGACTAGTCAGCATGACGGCCGCGGCAGCAGGCAGTGGCACCCGGTGGCGCACAGGGCGATGCCGCCGCCAGCCTCTGCTGATAGCCGCGTATTAGGGGCCTATTGTTTTTGAATTTGATAGATGCAGCTTACTACTCGGCGTCCATCCAACGGGCACGACCAAGGAAGCAAAGAACGAAGGGCTTATCCAGCTTCGTATGAACAGCGCGTTCCGTTCGCCGCAGCAAACACAACACTACATTAAATATCATCATCCTTCACATACATCATTTAGTTCCATCCATCTTTGCTCCAAACAATCAAACGACAGCAGTAGGCAGCATCTGCAGCGACCAGCGCGGCCCTAGGGCCTCAAAAGGAGGCTCTAAGGTTTGAATACTCTACGTATGGCTCTTGAGGCGCGGGTGAGGCCCACCGACGGTCCCCTTGACGAGCAGGGTGTGGATTTCCCGCCACAGAGTGCCGACGCCTGTGCATCCCGTATTTCGCGCCCGTTGCAGTCGCTTAAGTCTCTACAAGTACTGTCGGCATTGGAACAAGGGCAAGGTGGGTCTCTCTTGGACGGGTCGAGGTGGCACACACAGCCGGCCAAACGACACCGCAGTGACGATTGGCCCGGGGCCCATTCGCGTGGTATTGCGTGGTCAAGGTCGCTTTTGATCTATCCATAGACCACCTGGCACTCCTTGCACCCGCCTACGCGATAAGTGAGTGTGGTGACGAATCGCGAACTCCTCACGACGCTTGCAGACCACGTTGGCGGCACTCTCAGCGTTATCGACGGTGAAAGATTGGACGACGAACACGCAGCGTTCCCGGGACCGTCTCCACAAGCCCTTGGCAAGGTGAGCGCTGAGGCGAACTGCAACAAAGCGGGTGCTTCTCTTGCCGGGCTTATCCCAAGGTCTCAAGAACGTGTTGTAGGCTTTAAAAAGGATATGGATCCATCAGCCGTCGCCCACCACAGGAACGCCAGCTGTGGTGTGTAAGCTTTGAGCATCAGGGAGTGCGACTCCCAGCAGAGGGTCTGCCTTTGGCCCAACCCCATGTCCGTCTCCTCGTTTGCGGTGCCCGCTGACACCAAACGATTGTTTATACTTCACGGCGTTGTCAGGTGGCCTCCACACGATCGGAGGGCCCGGGATCCTCGCGTCCCGCGGGCAAGCGCCACCATGGCAGCGCCAAGGGCGAGTGCACAGGGCTTTCGGGAATGAGCGGGTGGACCTTGGAGCCCGATAAAAAGGTATGGTGGGGGCCCCGTTGGAGCCGTCGCGTGCACGAAGGCGATGGCAGGCACGCGCGCGCACCCGCTGGGTCAATGACATCGGGCGTCAGTTGAGAAAACCCCGCGAACAGCGCGAGAGTGTTTCCTGCGAGAGCAGCTTGCACACATCTTATGATGCTTTCCACACACCCCGGTCCTCCAGGTTATGCTCCCGAGCAGCGGCGGCGCCAAGTGCGCGCTGCGTGGGGCTCAGCCGACAGGGTTGTGGGACGACGAGGACGAGGGCGGTTGCTGCAGCGGTGGGTGGGCTCCGGAGAAGACCGTGAATCAGGGAGGCTGGGGGAGCGTGGAACAGTTGATGCAGCAGCTGCAGCGGCAACAGCTAGAGCAGCAGCTTGCCCTGCTGCATGAGCAGCAGCTCGCCCTGCTGCAGCTGCAACAAGAGCAGCAGGAGCAGCAGCGGCAAATGCGGCAGCAGCAACCAGGCCCGTTGGGGCAGACGGGGCCACACCAGCGCAGGCGCAGCAGCAGCGGCAGCACCAGCAGCGAAGTGGACACTTCCACCTGCGGCGCGGGTGATGTGGGACGAGGCAGCTGCGATGCCGGCGGCGTTGCCAGCTCACCAGCGGCCCGCACGAGCGGCGGCGCGGCTGGGGCGGCGGCACCGCCGCCCCCAGTGACTGTGGTGGCTGTCACGCCACGGCCAAATCTGGGTGCCACAGCTTCATTCAACAGCGTTTGCAGCAGCACATTGGGCTGCATCAGCAGCGCGTGCATGAGCACCTGCAGCGGCGCAAGCACCAGCGGCTCCAGCCTCGCCTGCCGCACCGCGACGGGCGCGAGCGGCTACGGAGGCGCTGCCGGCGCGGGCGGCAGCAACTGCAGCACCAGCAGCGCCTGGAGCAGCCGCGGGCCCGCCGCCCACGAGGAGCTCGGGGACTCGGCCGACGACGAGGCGTGCAGCACGAGCGGCACCAGCAACAGCGGCTGCGAGTGGATCCTCTCGCGTTTTGGCGGCCGGGAGGTGCTGGCGGACTACGAATTTGGCCTGCCGCTCGGCAGGGGCACTTTCGGCGTCACCCGCCTGGTGACGGAGCGCGTGTCCGCGCGCCCCTTCGCCTGCAAGACGGTCTGCAAGGAGCGCATCAACAGCCGGCAGTACATCGAGGACATGCGGTCCGAGGTGCAGATCCTGCAGCACCTCGTGGGCGTGCCCGGCGTGGTGCAGCTGCGCGGCGCGTACGAGGACTGCCGCGCGGTCAACCTCGTGCTCGAGCTCTGCGCGGGCGGCGACCTGCTGGAGCAGATCCTGCGCCTCGGCCGCCTGCCCGAGGACGACGCGGCGGCCGCCGCGCGCGCGGTGGTGCTCGCGCTGCAGCGCTGCCACGCGCGCGGCGTGATGCATCGCGACGTGAAGCCCGAAAACTTCCTGCTGGCGGCGGAGGGCTGCGCGGCCAGCTGCCGCGCGAGCGACTTTGGGGTGTCAGCGTTCTTCCGGCCGGGGCAGAAGTTTAGGGAGGTGGTGGGCACGCCCTACTACATGGCGCCAGAGGTGCTGCTGCGCTGCTATGACCAGGTGAGGGGGCGGCGCAGCCGCGCTCGGGACCCAGCCGCAAGCCCGGCCTTACAGGCCGTGGCGGCCAGGGACCTCCCTGGCTGCTCCGGCGCTGCGGATCCCGCAACCACCGGCTTTGGGCTGCCAGCGTCGCCCCCGCCCTGCCTTGGGGCAGCCCCGTGACGCCGCCTCCGCCAGCCTCGGCCGCGCCTTTCACGCCCTCGCACCCCTCCCCTTCACCTGCCGCCCGCCGTCCCACCCAGAGCGCCGACATCTGGTCGGCAGGCGTGGTGCTGTACCTGATGCTTTCGGGGCAGCTTCCGTTCATGGGCTCTACGGACCGCCAGGTGTGCGCGGCGGTGCTGAGCGCCGAGATCGTCACCGACGGCGGCGCCTGGGACGCTGTCTCCGACGGCGCCAAGTCGGTCGTGCGCCGCATGCTGTGCCGCGACCCGCGGCAGCGCGCCACGGCGGAGGAGCTGCTGGCACACCCCTGGCTGGCC